TAATATTTTAATAATATTTTAATAATATAATAGCAATCTGTTTAAAATAATTAAATAATGTTACTAATATCTTAACAATATGATAAAAATATTGTTAATAGTAACTTAACAGATTAAAAATATTTTTATCATATTTTTATCATAATAGTTATATAATTATCATATGATAATCATAAATGGTAAAATTCAAAGGTTTCTGCTAAGTACTTATTTGCTTTTTGGTTTGTATTTTAAAAATTCATTCTATTTGTTTTCAATGGTTCGTGTAATGTCAGTTAGGGCTCTCACCAAGTAAGGGCACCTTTATCCAGCAAGAACATCTTCTGTTTTTCTTGTGATGATCTTCTGGTTCGGGCTTTATCCAGCAAGAACATCTTCTGTTTTTCTTGTGATGATCCTCTGGCTCGGGCTTTATCCAGCAAGAGCATTTTCTGTTTTCTTGTGATGATCTTCTGGTTCGGATAAAGTTTAGTCGGGCACAATGGGTTGTACTGCAATGTACTATGTTGTTCGAAGATCTTTTATTCTATTATTTATACTCATTTAAAATGGAAAGAAAGACACGAGGTGTTTCCAATTATGAAATGAAGTTCAAAGATAATTTGCATTATTAGGACACTTAATATATTCAGAAAAATGGTAAGGCATTGATGCGGATAATATCGCATGTTCTACGTATTCATTGCAGAAACCCATTTTTAATAAAACCCATTTTTAATAATTATAATTATCTCTTTATAATATTTAAAAAAATTTTATAACTTATTTATACTATTCTAAATCTGCCTTGTAAGTTTCTTATGGTCGGGACATCTAATCGTATCAAAAAATAATTGGTTGCAATAAAAGGTTTAATAACTTTTTAACTTTTTAACTAAAGTTGGTTTTTTAAAAAAATCTTTCTATAATTATATTGTTTGAAGCCTAAAGAATATATATATAAAGTTTTTTAAAACTCTTTTATTGAAAGTTATTTTAGTTTATAAATTCTTTAATTTTATAATAAATTTAAAAATTTAGCGCTTTATTTATTAGTAAAAATTAAAAATTCAGCACTTGTATAATATAATTAAAAAAAATATTTAATAATTTAATTAAGACCATGCAAATTAATTAATTGGTTTTCATAACCCGGTCGGGTCAAATTTGAAAACTTCTAAAAAAATTTTTTGTATGTTTTAATAACCGGGGGGTTTTAAAAAAAAATTTTTTTATATAAATTTTATAAAATATTATAAATCACATATCAGATATATAGATGGTCTGTACTATATAACTATATTATAACTATATGTTTACAATATAGCTAGAATATAGGTGCAGTATAAATCAAAATATTGTATTTTATAATATTTTACAATATCGTTACATTAATGATATCAAAATTATATTGTTTCATCCTTTATCTCGTAACAATATTTTAAAATTCAAAGTTTCTGCTATGCTTCAGCTTACTAAATATGCTCATGCACAAGAAGAATTGCTAACGATGTAAAATTACCAGCTCATCGTCATCATAAATGAGAAAATGTAACCGATGTTTTCGAAGTAAACTATATAAAAAATTATGTGATATAGTTAAAGAAACAAAAAGCTCATATAGGCAAAAAAAAAAAAAAGAGTAAGATGGACGATGGTCCTAATGCAGAAAATCCACAACTTAAAAATAGCAGCGAAAGATCATTTCTTCTGACAATAATAAAGAGCTTGAAGATGACGGTGAAAAATTAAAAGCAAGACAAATAATCCTGATACTGAAAGTCCGCAATTAAAATTAAATGTGATGCTAAAGTATATCATATCTCAAATATCAATGTCTTTTTTTTCGCATCTCACAGTCTGCTTCGGGGTTTTTTTTCTAGTGGGAAGATTGTAACCGATAGATTAAAAGACGTATATAAGAGGGCGGAGAATGTATGTGTAAAAAACATTCAATATTACGAACTTTGCAAGCATTCTAAACCGACTAGCACGACTACGTTATTTAAGCATCTTAATCCTTATTATTATCGTATAACGATAAGGATTGGAACCGGTTAATCGTGATCATGGACAAATGAAATCGATCAACATATTACTACAAATGATCTAATCGAAAAGATCACAAGATTGGAATCATGAACACCTGAGAAATCGCATCAAAGAGATAGGCCAAAATTATCTTAGTGCTGGCTAAATTAAACATTTGAATAATTAAGAAAATTTTAGATAGAGCTTTATCAATCATAGGGCTCTGTTGAATATGCCGTACCCGATAACTTGGAGCATTAGGCCATACAAATTAAATTAGTTGTTTCTTGTTACATGTGACAACAAATAGGACCCGACCCGACCGGCCAGCAAAAAATGTTATATTTCCGGAACACCTGATAAAAATTAACCGAATGATTTTTCGGCCGATCCGGTTACCGTATTTTCGCACAGAGGTGTAATTTCGAAATTTGGTCCGAATTAAGCTTAATTCGGGCCAATATTCAAAATAACGCTCCTGCGCGTTATTTCGCGAAAATACGGTAAGTTATCCGACAAACTCATATGATCATGAAAAACTTTCTTTCTATTATTTTTTTTCATGTGTTACGTTGTAATTATGTTTTTCCAATATTCAAAAAAAAGAAACTCAGCGAGTGACTCCCTACCAATCATGATCATAAATTGTCGGATAACACCATTATTGGGCAAATTTGTGATAACGGCAATTTGGCTCAACCGGACAAATGATTGGCTGACAAGTGCCGCGAAGCGGAACTTGACAGCCAATATCATTTGTCCGGTTGAGCCAAATTGCCGTTATCACAAATTTTTGCCCAATCGGCATAATAAATTCAATAAAAATTGATGTAATAATAATATATGTAATTTAAAATCAGGTGACTAATATACAGTGTTAGGGGCAGAAACGGCGAGTCTGTCGCTAGAAGACCAGAATTCTCGCGCTACGTCGTTTTCAAGGCTTGAATAGAGGCGTAGATA